CGCGAATCTAAATGTAAAACCTATTTAAAGTTACTCCCTGAAGTGAAAACTTGTTTTGCGGTGATTTTGGATAATAACTATGCTGGGGGATCTGGTGGAATTTGTTTGGACTCTTTTCACAGCGCGTGTGTTCGAGGAACACTGGAGAGATCCTATGTCGCCGAATACCAAAAATACATTCCAAGCAATTATTCTCCTCACGCTCTGTGATCACTCACCTACGGTTTTATATCCCGCCTCCTTACCGTACTTCAGCGTAAGTCATCTCCCAAACGTAATGAAACATTCATTTCGGACGCGAATACGTTATCTTGCGTCTTCCACGTTGCACGGGGCCCGAGAATTTCCTACTCGATCGGGCAGCATCTCCAAATAGCGTAAGAGTAGCAAGATTTCTGTCGGCATCAGTGGTTCGAGGTCTTCCATGACAGCCCTGTCGCCATCCCCGAGCATGGGGGGGGGGGGGAGGCAGTACCAGCTGGGGGCACATCACAATAAAAATGGGTAACTTTGTGGCTTATGGTTTTTGCCCGATGGGTGGGACCAGCTGCTCACCAGCTCCCCCCGAGCAGGCCTCGTGTACGACTGGCCAGCCACACTGCAAACTTTTATGAAAAGGCGTGAAATGTGAACGCGTAAATGGAAGTAATGAAAACAAAATTACTCTTTTTTCATTTCATTTCATTTCGTTTCATTTCATATTTATTCGACCAATTTGCAGCTAGGGGTTGAATTGCAGGGTCTTTGTGTGGCTGAAATTAGACAAAAACTATTTCCAAATAATGAAAATAAAAACGGAAGTACTTAAAGCTAAATTACCAAACAGTAAGACAAAACAAATAAAAAATAATTTAACTAGAAAAATACGGTAATTGGTTTTATATTAAACAAAACAAGACAAAAACCTCAAAATTGTCTCCAGATAGGTACTTGCGACCGTTAGATACTTTGTGCCACCGTTAATTATCAATCAAGATTAAATTACGGCGGAGACAACAGCCGCAGAAAAAGAAACTGAACACATTTACAGAAATAACAGCACAAAAATAGCACTTGAACAATTGAGGCATACCAAACTCATGTTATTGTATCTGATGTTCCTGTGATTGGCCTAAGTATTGGACAGATTTTGAAATCTGAAATTAATGTTAACCTTTCTACAAACACAAGCATGGAAGTGGTGTACTTTAAATGATGACGTGTTGCCAATAGTAACGTCTTTGTGCAAAATTTGTAAATTAGTCCTCAACACCGTCAAGGTATGGGTCACTCCACGCTTGTGTTGCGGTAACCGCAGCGTGAATGAACCCGCTCACCGCTGTTGGAATTCGCTTAAGACAAATGAATCCGAATCACAAACTAGTCAAGCGAGTAATTATATCCAGCTCTATGATCCAGATCAACGTCGCTAATTGGGGGAGGTGAATGCCTAAAAACCTGGGGGAATGGGGTTACACGTATATCAGCGGCGTATCCAGCGGGAGGGCGGACAACTTGCCCCTGACTGACTTTTTTTCATTTTTTATATTTATATAACGAATATTTATTTATATTTGTTATAACCTAAGAAAGCAGTACCACGAAATAAAAGCAAGTGTGTTGGGACTGTGAGTAAGGCTTTTGATGTTCTTGACCCCATAATCATTTTAATAAGCCTGAAGTCGCATTCGCTTTTGAATTTTCCCCCACTGACAGCAGAAGCTGCATACGCCGCTAGGGTATATCCCCTTTTTTGACTGAAGGGATGGGCTATTGAATAAATCCCCCCCCCACACACACACACTTTTTCGTGAAAAAACTCCAGAAGAATTTTGAAAAATTTTGTTCTGACTTCCCAACAACCTAAACGTATTCAGTGGCACTCATAAAGGAGACCAGTTTTTAAAAAGCCATCAATACCGGCAAATAATTTCCGGGCAAGTCATCCCCAACAATTTTCCCTACAGCTCCAAGTAATACCCCACCACTAAATACATTACCAAGACTGCAGCAACTTCTAAAATTATATTCAACTAAAACAAAGTCAAACAGAATACTTGATATAAAACTGTTCATTTAAAAGCTCTCTGGTTCATTTTGCTGCTCGAAAAGCCATGGGATTTTATAATTGATAAGAAAACTGGAGACAGGAAACAACGACGGCTTGACAGCTTACTTTACAGGCATTTACAATAACTAAATTAGTGTTTTCAATTGCCTATTTAGAACATTCTAATGGAGGATGCGAAGGTAAGCTTATCGTTCTCCAGTTTGTCAAATCGTAGAAATGCTGAGTTTTAAGTACCAAGTTATTAACTAGTAAATACAATAACGTTTAAGCATCAACCTATTCAAAAATATTCAGTCGCCATTTCAACTCATGAAAGTCAGTGAAGGAACTGCCAAGCTGCAGTGTGAATGAAAGCATGGATTAACAGACTTGTCAAAACTACTACCCATAATCTGCATAGCTTACCGTTCGCACGTAGACGCTTTACGTGTCGCTCACAGGAATCAAGTCATGACCCGCGGCGAGCGGGAATATCACCACGGCATGCAACGGCCGAGCTCGAGTGCGTGGGCTTCGGATAAGTCGTGAATAGCGATAAGTGATCTCGGAATCATGCTAGTGATCTCCCTTAAAGCTTTGGAAAGGGCATACCAGACCGGAATGGGAAACATTTTTGGTACAAATAACATTTGATAATGAGCACTGGATTTATTCTGCTATAGCTGATGTTTGTGAGATTGGCGTAATTTTCTGACAGATTTGAAAGCTAAACATTGATTGCAGTAAAATTGGTGGCAGTATTGAAGGAATCCTGTTACACATCGCGAGAAGCAAAAGCGAATACAAACGCCTTTTGCACTGTTACCTATAAGTAAGACACCAAAACGTTCCACAGAGGCGTTGATACGCAGTTTGTATCGTTGTAGGGTATTTTGTGTTGTCTTTGTTCTCATATACTATGAGACATTAGTGTGCCATGGGTGCTTTCCAGATCTCTCCAATTTGATCCAGAATCACTTTCCTGGGTCGAAATTTCGACCAAGCGACGCTTGGTATGAAACTCTTCAATTTGTGACGGATAAGAATACAAAGTCTCCCCTTTTTGAGTAAATTCCAAATATCTACTTTGTGAAATCCTTCTTGGGTACTGCTAAAGTACCCGGTGCACCATAAGGACCTTGTGGGGTACCTATCTACTACTGTTCTCATAACCCCACAACGTGCCATAAACACACGCACATTCAGCCGAACTTTTCATTGACATATGAAAGCACAAAACCATTGTACAGAAGACTTCATAAAGTGTCGTGTGTTTCCATAACGTCCTTTCTGCATGTTTCTTGAGGTTTGTTGCTCCTAATCACAACTTAAGTGGACGATAATTTTATCTCACTCCAACGCTTTTATGAACACGACTTGCAAGATCATGCCGGCATGATGTATGCTTAACGAGGTAAAGCAAGTACTGAGCAACCTTGACGGGATTTCCATACAATAGTTTTGGAACGTTTCTTAGAGTGCAAAACATCATCACACACCACACGTGTCAGAGAGAGCGACCATGAACCATGAACTATACTGAAACACAAGACACAAAATCAACGCAATAGTAGTATATTATCTAATACATAAAGGGTACGGTATTGTCAGATTGCCATTAATGATGGTGCATTAACCCTAACTCCCTAGGGTGTGTGCAAACTCATATTAGAATTGGAGGATTCAGAACTGTTAGGGTTGAAGTTGATATCTTTTTCGTAACTTTGCAATTATATGTCCCCCCAAGCTCAAAGAGAACCTCCAAACGGAGACTGGAAAGCATCAAACGGACCGATACCTGTAATTTAAGTCCACATAGGTGAATGCCGTGCTTGGATCTCTTCTGCCAAATAATTATTTCCCATTTTTTTCAAAAGGTGTAATGTTTGCGTTATGGAGATGCCTGTTTAGCACTGGGTGTACTGCCCTGCAACGACGCTTATAAGGTCCAAAACGCAGCGGTGCATTGGTTGGTACCGACTTGCGGGTGCGTTTCTGAGAGCAGGAGGCCGCAGGTTTGAGTTCTCTCAGACCAATTTTATTCACTCCACAAAACCTGGGACAACACAAGGATGTAGTGTTCACGAATACAAGTCGATGTATGGGATAAAATACCCAATATTAAATTCACTATCCTATCGAAGCTGTCAAGTAGCATCTCCGGATACTAAGAAGCTCAAGCTAGCCCGGAAAGTCCGCAGTCACAGTTAAATTTAAGATTTTACCTAGATGCCATTTTGAACGCTAACGCCCTTCGATGTTGTTATCCGTTCAGTTCTGAGGCTCATTGGGTCTATATTGTCTGAACTTAGAAAAAACAGCTCAGAAATACTGACACTATCAAACATATTGCTGAACCTCTGAATAGAGTTGGTCTATCCAGTGGTCTGACACACTTGACAAGGTACAAGGTTGGTCGGGTACAACTGTAGCCACTCTTGACAAAATAACTATCGGTGAGAAACCCACGAAATTAACAACGAACAGAAAGTAATGAAACTGGATGACAATATAAAAAAAGAAGATGGCTTTTTCACAATGACTGTGTTTTTATTAAATGGTCATCTCTCCGTACCTTCTTCCTACTGTCTCTCGAGTGGGTATAGCCGATCGTCATAGCAACATCCTCTAACGGGCATTGACAAGCATCTTTCTTTAAAAGATATTGCTTTGTGTACACACTTGCCTCTCTTTTTATCTGGCATCACAAACATGACTGACTCCAGGGCAATTATCTCGAAACAATTAAATCTCGACTGATGCGGGGGGGGCTGCGCTGGTTAGAATCTGTGGGACCTAACAGGGGGCAAAGCGAAGAAATCCCCGCAGTGTTGGATACACTTATTTGGCCTCGGCAATCGCGGCCTCCCGGGGAACAGAAAGGCAAAGCAGTGCCCCGACAGCGAGTTGGCGCAAGTGTGTATAGCAAAGCGGTTGCGACCCCCGCGCCTGCGCACTGTGTAGGTTTTTGCCTGGTCAGCACCTTGCTTTTTTGGCTTCTCGCGTACATATGGACAGAGGCCCTCCTCAACGAGCTTCTAATCAAGAAAAAATTGGACAATTTGCCGTCGAGTGACGCGGTGAACAATGGTTTCATCTGCTGACATTGCTATTCGTGAGTACATTCTTTGAAAACTACCTTTATTTAACTGTTTTCAGAGCATTGCAAACGATTCATTACGTAGCTGTATAAGGAAAGATACGATGACATAAAACCTTTCTCATTTATTTTGTCTTATTATTTTCTACAGGCCAACTTTTTTGCAAATAGAATCTTGTAATTTTAAAATAGATCAGATTACGGGCTCGGCGATACATTTATATTCACAGGTGCTCTGTTACAGCCAATTGAGAACCCAAGGGGACTTTTACAGGTTGTTTTTTAAATTAAAAAATTGAGAAAACTGTTACTTCACAATTTGTACAAGTGAGCCATTGACACCTATACTGAAGTAGATGCCCTTCCCGTAATTTGTGTTGTCACTTGCACACTAAACCAAGATTCACTCGCGCGTCACAAAGAGTATTCTGTCCCCTATTTCAATGGAATTCTGTAACGTGTTCCTATTTTAATACAGAATCGGACTCCAACCCAGGAGGTTCCTAGTGTATGTGATTTTCCGGTCGTGAGTTAGGTTTGGTCTGTATCAGGGAAATCGCAAATATCGTTTTTAATTTTTTTTCGTGAGCATTGAAAGAATTAACGTCCGGTGTGCAGCAATCTTGGGAAGTAAATGCAATTTACCCGTATATGGTCAATGAAATACATTAAGATCGAAACTCACGACTGCGTCATTGCAAATTTAAGGTTTGAAATTTTTATGCGCCTTCTTTCACATTGCATAAAGATATTTTTCTCACGGCATAAGGTTGGTGGTAATCCGTGGTTGTGGGCCCTTATCGCTTGCAGGTCGGGAATTCATAATGACAGCACGCGCTTGCAAGGCGCATAATTTTCGGTGTATAAAATCACCTTGCACGCTGACAGACTTCAGGCCTAGTTCATAGCTGCATTCTCCCTGTGTCGTTTCTTTATAACACCACTATATTAAATGTAAAAAACTGTGAATCAGAGGTCGTGTGGAAACCCAAAACAGCAAATACAAGATTAGAACCTGGGGTTTACAAGTTTTTGAAAGATGGCAAAATGCCGATAAGGAAACGCTGCATCTGCCTGTTGATTAAGTAAATGCATTTTTCATTCTCATTTTCCAGTATTGGAAATGTTTGTAATCTTTGCAACAGAAAAAAGCTGAAAATTAAAGAAACTGGAAATAACAGGGGTTCGAGCTAAGATAACAGAAAAGGTTGATAACGACAATCGGCCCCATTCACAAGTCGGCCATATTGAATTGAACGCGAGGTCATCTTTTTCGGTTTGGCACCTGAGAACATAAACGAAGGCACTGAAATCAAACTTCATCACAAATACATGTCTGTTATGCTGATGAAAGTTTTTAATTTGCGGTTAATTACATGTATACCTAAATGTTTTAAATATTAAAAAAGGCACAGACAGACATAGAGCTCAAAATAGTCTGGCTCCAACGGATAACATTGAATAAGATGAATTCAGGGAAGCACAGCCAAAAATGGCCCCTCTGTAAATAGAGTCTAATGATCGCAGTTTCTGTAGCTCCTTGTCAACTTTGCGAAAAACGTCTAAACAACACAGAAATTGTAATGACCAACTGCCAATGGAGACTCCTACGGACCGCACTGACGACCGGCGAGGTTTGAATTATAATCGCCGCGCCTGTCCAACTAGGGCTGTGGCATTTCATGTTGAGCTTATACCGTGAAATCGTGACCGAGCACCGTTTCTTTTCTCGCGGCTGGTTCTCGATGCCAACTCAGTTTGTCGTTGCCAGTACGAAGAGGGTACAAGTGATTTCATGTGGAAGGGCGAGGGTTATTAGCGGACACACTTCAATACTGTACTTCTATTTATAAAGCTGTTATCACCAAACATGTTAGAAATAACGACACGTGGAAGAATAACTTTCGCAGCAATGAACAGCACATCAAGACGGGTCTATACATAAATTAAGATGCCAGCTCATTGTTTGTGGCTACTCGCTTGTAAAAGCAGCGTATGTAGTCGCTTCAAATATTAAACGCACTGATCTTACAGCCGATCAAAGAAACGATAACATCTAATAATCAATTATTTGGTTTCATTTCCAAAGAAGCTGCAGAGACTATAGGCCTAACAATTGAATTGACGCTTTGTCGGTGTTCCTGTCACTTCTGCACAATTTTTCCCCATAAATACTTGTTTTTACACAAGCGCCTTTTTTGCCATTGACCATTGTCGTGTGAACTTTGGCAGCCACGAAGGGCGCCGTCTGTATGAAGTCTGGTACTCTCCACCCCAAAAGGTAAAAAAAAGCTAGTGTCGAACCCCCTCCCTCGACACAACTCTGCGTCCAATTTATGGCCGATCAAAAAACAATGTCTTCCTTCCGCCACGGATGATGCTGTATGCACCCTTTCCCATTTATCTTCAATCAGTGGTGTAAATATGTTTTAGCGAGTGGGGGGGAGTGTAGGGAAAGACTGGTGAGGGTTTTTGTGGGGGGGAGGGGTAGAATCTATGTAACACTGTCATTCATGTTCCTCAGCCTCCACTATCCCATAAAATTGAGGATCCGTGCACCTTTTCCAATGCTATGAAATTCCTGGGCATTATCGTCATGTATTATACTAACAATCAACCGAAAATGTACACCTGAATTTTTTTTCCATTTTTCTCTCTCTGTTTTTAACGAAACATATAATAGTATTAGTATAATACAAGACGTATGAACTAGGTAAAGTTGGTTCCTGAAATCGATACTCACTGGAATTACCGAAATTCGGAAAGCTGAAAAGTCATCCAAATTAGAAAAAGCATCTTTATATTAGTACGGTAATCTAATTCTGTGCATCTTCTTTTCAAGCAATACTAAACTTTGTACTTCTGTCTCATTGATTGCACAGGGTTGCTAATGAGTATTTAGTAATTTTTGCTTGGCACAAAAATAGGGGGCATGATCCTATGGCCCACCCCTCGTCAGAAACATTGCATGGGGGACATTGTATCCTCATCCCCCTGGAATTTATGCCCATGACCCCAACGAAAACGGCGTTTCTTTGCCACTGTGCTATAATCAGTCTTGTATTTGTATAGGCCTATAGGATGGATTTTCTCGAGATGACAACGCTCAATAAATCCTTAGAAAAAAGAGAGAGGTGTAGAGAAAACCAACAGGGATTTCATTCCACCGCAGAATATAATGGCCATTCTATTAAATGTTTAGGAAATATGTTTGTCACAGATGAGAAAAATGTCAAACGTCGTACAACTAGTGATTCAAACATTGCACTTTACTAAAAGTTTCCATGTTTCAGAATATACCACAAATTCGCTTAGACATTAATTACTAAGAGTCCAGTCGTCCAGCTTTGTACTTTTGTACTTTCAACTGGAGGATTTTGCTAATGTTGCATGTCTCATCGACTGGCCAAAGTATTCGGCGTGATGGATGTAGAGGAAGTGCTCTCCGTACAGCACGTGGAATATACGCGTATTCATAACAGATTGACGTTAATGTCAAGTTCATGTTTATAAAAACGATGCACTGCACCTAGGACAGAGTGACAGACAAGGTCGGTCTAGAGAGATAAACGGACGAAGAAGATATGCCGCGCTGTAAAGCAAAGATAGTGAAGTATTTACGAGCCTGCGGCACCGGAAACTACATCTTCTCGTCCGATTCGCTGTTGCGACGATTGGAAGCTCGTGTTTACCCTATCGGTCTTAAATCAAACACAGAAACAAGTATTCAAGTCAATTTCCTGGAGGCCAAGACGTGAATTGCTTGGGCGGAGTCGACCCACATTCAGTCGTTCAAACTGACACTGGGAAAATTAGGAATATACAGCGCTATTCATTGCAAAATTGCAAAGAATGGAGATTTAATCATCTAGAAAACTCCACGTTATAGGGGAGATTGGGTTGCTCTGGGAAATTGCTGTTTGACTGGACCAGCAAATAAGCAGTCCTGAAAGAGTAAAGAAGCCTGACATTTTCGAATTTCTTCCCTTCCCCCACACAGGCACGTCTTAGCCACTTACAGTCGTCAAGCTGTCCGCACCTACCCGCCAACTCGTCTCGGCTGAAGAGAGAGGAGAGCAGAGACAACTTCGTACCAAATCTCCAGCGAACTGAGTAGTAACTGAGACAAGAGTAGAGACGAACAGTGTCCAAATCGGCAAACGATGAGGTTGCGCGTCACGGTGACCTACCTCGCTCACATTGCGGCCATATTGCTCTTTCAGTGCACAGCCGCAGACCAGTGGAATCCGAGGGCTGGCTGTCATTTAGTTGGTGAGTTAAGCTCGCTTGTTAGGTTGTATTATATGTCTGTTTTAAGAATTAAAAAAAAAGATTATCAAATCGCTTCCTTTCGAAACTGCAAAATTCACAGTACTAAATGTTACTAAATCTGTGAAACCAATACAATGAAATAAAAGCCTTGATGAAGTGATCAAAATAAATTTCACTGTGTAAAAAGAGTGACATCAATCAGGCAATCATGCTAGTTTTATGTATCTTCTCTGAGCATGACGAGTTCAATTAATTTTGTCACGGGACGGCTTGCTTTTCATGGCCATATCCTGGAATGCTTCAGGTTACGGATTTCCATACTGAGACAATTGCAGAAACGGGGAACATATCCTGATTTTGATGATTAAAAGTAAGCAAGTAAGCAGACAAACAGACCTGCTTGCGTAATTTGTTTTGCATGCATTATAAAAAGCAAGCTCCAACCTTCAAGTCGTTTCAAGAAATGGACCAATGTTTACACGACCCCGCCCCTAACTCCATACTTGGTTTTTTTTTAGATGTTCCCCCATTTCCCATTAAAATACATGAAGTCTATTGCCTTATAAGTTTGTGTACTTACGCATCTTACGAGTTCAGTATTTGGAAACTATTGTCATTGTTAATTCATACTGTGAATCTAGGAATGAACGTCGTTTCCTTCGCTGGAAGCTTAACCATTGAGAAGTATGACCTTTAGGCAGACCAACGATCTGAAGCTGTCATTTTTTGGAAGCTGATTTCCTGAGAGTTTTTTTTTTTTAAAGCATTTAATGGAGATGTACTTTTTAAAAGAAGTTGTGCCTATCAGCTCACTTTTAGATGTTATTTGTGAGTTACGTTATTATTGACTCTTTTCTGCACCATTTGCATCACATTGGAGTCACTGAATTGAGTATAATGGAGGTGGACTCACAAGAAAGAGATATTGCTGAATCTTAATCCACTGAAGATGAGTCTTTCAACTCGACACTGTGTCACTTTCCCGCGCCCATACGCAAAACGAACGGAAAACCCGGAGTCGTATTCGCATTGATATTTCTTTAATTCGCACAGTGACTCAACTGTGCTTGTGTAGGGAGCCACCTTTTGCATCTCTTCCAAACATATATTCTCATGTTCACATTATGGTCTGCTATGCAAAGTACAATTTTCCGTCAGAAAGTCTGCAGCAGCTGTCTTTTTCGTTTAAGGCATTCGGCGTAAAATCCTCAGTCTGTCAGTGTCATCTTTGGAATATTAAGGCTTAAATTGAATTGCTATGGGAATGCTTTTAAAAATGCCTTAGCAAGTGCGTTTCAGTAAAAAAAATGGTTTGTCTCAGGTTCATCTGTATGTGTGTGCTTCCTTGGACAAAGAGTTAACTTATTTCGAGTGACTTACTTGACTCACCAAAGTTGATGAATGTTTAACCAGACAGACAATTCACTAACTCACAAAATGAGTTTTCTGACCCATCATTAATGCAATGAGTGAGTATAAGCCTAATATTGTCTAATGACACGGGTTACCAGAACCATTTCATTCAACTCGACTGACTCATTAAAGTCTAAGTGTGTCTCCACACAGACAATCATTGACTCAATAAAATGAGTTTTTAGACTCATCAATAATTTTCAATGCTGTTTATCAGACAAGACCGTCCGGTAGTCGGTATCAGCGCACTTACTGCCCTCAAGGCACCTAGGAAGGAAGAGAGGGAAGTAGGTTTGTTGAATTTAAACCTCCGACCCCTACAATATAATCGGAAGTCACAAATTCTAACTACTCGGGCACATTCCGACAAAATTGTATAGGGCTCATGTTTTTCAGTTTTCAGCATGTACAGCCAAACCCTTTAAATCTAAGACGTTGTTTGTGGGTTCACGTTGTGCAATTCCTTATAGTTGTTCACAAGCAAACTTCACGACTAAAAAGGCATTTTGGGGTAATGTGCTGACAGTGAAGGTAACCATTTCATCAACAGACTGTTTAAGATATAATCGTGAAAACGTTAGTGAAATCAAAGATCTCATCCGACGACAATGTCGCATGCTCACTACTTGAAAGGTTTACCTTCGTTATATACATCAAGTGAATTAAATTGTCATGGATTTGATAAAGAAGGAATGGCTTTCATAACTGCTACTCAGTCCAAACCCAGCTACGTACACCTCCCCCATTCCATACGTTTTCCAAACCGAAATTCCAAAATAAGTCTTTTGCGATTTAGATTTCAATAAATAATTATTCAAAAATATATAAATAATTTCAATAACCCGCAAAAGGCTAATTCTGCATTTATTTTCCAATTGCCAGATACTGCATGAACATTCCGTTTGAATCTGTTTGACAGCTTATGTCTTTAAGCAACACACTTTCTGTTCAATTTAAAAAAGGAAATGTGAAAAGCTCTGCACACCAAAATAAAAGTAATAAAATGATTAGAATGTAATGGATGAAACCAAATCATACAACAAAGAGATAACGAAACGGATTTGGCATTGTAGATTGGCTCCCAAATCTAGATCAAGTTTCAGATACATGGTGCATGAGCAAAGCTCCCCTAAACAAGCGAAATAATAACAGGCAGCCACGTAGCCGAGTGAATTCACTTACAAGTGTCTCGTTTTGATGAAGTGTGTCGTCTGCCAGCTTCCTTTGTGGACGTCAACCAACGTGAATAGGGTTGTTAAGTCAAGTAGTCACTAAACTACATCAGGATGTAGGCCTACGTGTCATTCATGACAATTTGTCAAACGTAAGTGGACAATTCTCTTCACTGAGTAACTAGTGGCTGTCGACCATGTAGACAGGATAAACCTTTCCTCCCGAATTTCCGGAACCTTCCGGATACGATGCTCGGCCGTCATATACTCGCCTCTACCGAATGATTTAAACACAATGAGTCAGTGATGCAGTTAGTGCGTGGCTTTGTTTTATTGAAAGTGGCATTTGGGCCCATGGCATTTTCTTAGAATTCATTTAAGGCCATTTATGCATCCCCCAAATCACATGGAAACGGACGCCTTATTTGCTGGACCCGAAAAGAGCGTTTTTTTGCTGGCCATCTCACACCAAGGGAGGAGGCTGAAATTAGACCCGAGAGATACTACACAATCTGTGGAGGTTTGATCGATTCTAACAAAGGTTTGTTGTCATGGTCACTTATAAAAATCATGCCCCTCACGCATTCTGGCTCGCATGCATTTAGTCTACGTCAACGAGGAAAAGTTGACACTTACAGAAATGCAATGTGTTCACAAAAAAGTAGTGTTCCGTAGTGTCCAGTTCTTTGGTATCTAACTTCCGTGTAGTACCAGTGTTGGAGTCGAGTCCTCAAATCTGAGGACAGAGTACTCTGAGTACGTTATGTCCCTAGTCCCTGGCCGAGTACAAGTGACGAGTCCGAGTCCAAAGCACGGGTACGAGTACATTCAAGGCAGAGTACTGAGCCTATTCCGAGTACCAAAGTCCCAGTCCGAGTACACATACATGTATAAGTTCTGTAAATTAACTTGCAGAAATCTTCTTGCAACATGCAACATCGATGCTTGTCCGACGTGCAGCTGTGGATCTGCCTGCATGATGTGGTGTAACAAAGACAGAGAAGACAACAAGATTTTTTTTTTAAATCTATTTTTCCTAACTTGCCGATAAAAATTTTCAGGTCGCGCCGAAAGAGTAGGGTTGGTCGGAAAACCGGAAGCAGACCCTTTTCGGCCTAGAAAATTGCATATCGGAAATCGTCGACATATTCAACTAAGAAAGAGCTACGAAACGTGCAACAAACTCTCGGTCAGTGTCACTCCACGTGCTACAATGGTCATTGAGCACGAGCTCGGCTTTTATATCGGCGCAACGATTTCCTACTAAAGTAAAAGCTGCATTGGCAGAAACTAAACCAGCTTAAAGGCTCCTTGTACCCAGGGCACGGTAAGCATTCTGCACGTGTTACAAACTACAGAGTGAAACTGCTGTCTCGCGTTGCATTGTGTTCAAAATTGAACAGTGCAATTTTCGCTCATCAGCCAGCGCCCGAAACCACGATTGATAAAAAAGTGAAGTACTCGAATTTTTCTCGAGTACAAGTGTCGAGTGCCGAGTGCCTAAGGGTCGAGCACGCCCAAAATCCAAGAGCAAAGAGTCGAATACTTGCCAAGTACAATGAATTTTCGAGCACTGATAATCGAGTACGGACCGAGTACTCTGGTATAGTACGAGTATGAGTTATCCAACGCTGTGTAGTACCACGCAGTCTAAAAATTAACCCCACGCTTTTTCTGGCCGCTACAATTTCTTGCACGATCGGGGTTACCGTTAATGGGGCTCTCTTTGTCAGCCTATCAGTTCATGGCAGTCTCCAGTAGGTTCTTCTTTGGCCCTTTGTGGCATGGTATAAAAGCTGCTTCACTTCCTGTTTCTCACACAGCTGGCAAACTACTGTGCTACTCAGGTATTCAGATGTCTTGACTGTTACAAATAACATTCACTGCGTGCCGGCCCGAGAAGACAATCTTCTATGGTTTTTGCCTTTCTTCTTTTACCAGCCCATATACCGTAGTTGGCAATCGGTTTCAGAACCTTTTAAACGGAATTTGCCGATGAAATGCATCAACTTCGCGCTTGATACGGAATTAGTCGCATGTTCACTGCGCATCAAGGCAGCTCGATCCATTTTCAGCAATTTAGTGTATCAACTAAGGGATTATCGTAAATGGAGTCCTGGCATGTCCAATTTAACCTGTAGGCAGGAAGAAAGGAAGATATCTCTGAGTGCATCAAGTGCGTCCGACGACCTGTGTGCCAGTTCCACTAGTGAAAAGGGGGTGCGAAAAATCGTAACAGAAATATCACGTTGACACTGACAGTCTTCGAATTTTCGACATCTACAAGGATGTGTATCATGCTGTCTCGAATGTTTACACAAAACCACTGTCTCAAGTTGAGAAGATTCCAGACAAGAATTTTTGTTTTTGCATCTTTTTAATATAGTGCAACGAATCCTGCAAGCAAATATGTGTCTTGAATGCACTCATTTTTTAAATTTTTATTTTTCATTCCTAAAATGTATCACTGAAGTGTGGTGGTCCTAACGGGACTTTACACATTGCAAATATTTGCCAAAAATATTTTTTGATGTCACAAATTTCATCGCAGATATCTTTTCAAATATCTAAGATTTTGATATCTTCCCCGCATACGTTGGTGAATACCTTGTTGCATAGTTTGCATGTTTGTACCAACCTCGGAGAATCTCTATCATGTTTGAGTTCCAGCCTTCATTTCATAAAGATTTTACACACAATTAAGAGGGGAGTTGGACAGTTTACACTTGCTATGCGTGGGCGTGCCCAATGAAGTGCACACTATATTTACTAAATTTAATTTAAATTTAATTCAAGTATATGATTTGATAATGAAAAGGTAGAAATGGATTGCAATATGGCCCTAGTGGTACCTGACTATACCGTTTGCACATGTTAACAAAATGAAGGCTGTAACTCAAATTTTATACCCTCTAGTTTCCTGAAAAATAGGCTGATAATAAGTGGGCCACTTTATGAGGCAACGTGTGCGAAAAAGAACCGGTAGGCACCAAAACTTGTAACATCGTACATTTTTGTAAATATCTGTGAAGATATTAGCGATGTGTAAAGTCCCTTAAGAGTCTCCATACCAAAGTCCCCATCTTTAGTAGGCCTAGGTAGCCATTTCAAGGAATGTTTCAATTCAACATGACAGTTTTGGGACCGAATTCGCGAACATGATGAAAAAGAAACAGTTTCGCTCAACCGTATTTGTCGTGGTATTACAGTCGGGTGCCACCGAGCAAGCACCACGCCGTAGCGCTGTATTTAACTAGGATTCAGACGGGGGACATCTGGGTGCGGCGTGGCCAATTGATTCTATACATATTGTGACCTTATTACAAGGAATCCCTGCCTCTGTGTTAATTCCCTTCAGAAATATTGTTCCCTCTCCAGCAACTTGTCGTCATTTATAGTGTTATAATTTATAATACAGGTTACACAGATGTGATCATGCTGACAAAAAAAAATAATTATACCGGTTTTCATGTATCAAATTGACAATAAGGGAATCAGCTTATTCTACGCGTAATAACATCCAAGACTTTTTAGTTTTGCAAATGATACAATGGTAGGGCGTAATTGAATCTACTGGTAGCGCTCTGCTTGATGCCTCGGAGACGAGGTTGTCCAAAGGGCCCCTGAAGAATTTGGTGAAAGAAGCATGCTACAGCAGCAATATCCCGCAAAGGATTGCGGGATATTGCTGGCCTAATCAATGCATACATAGGTTCACGCGCATATGGGAGAGTCGATCTTTACTATTCATTTGTTTAAATGAACTGTATTCAGTGAATGTTCACCTACGTTATGTCATTCATCCTAAAACAGCTGTCCTTCAAGGGCCTGAGGACATGTAGAAGGGTCCACTTAACTTGTGCTATGGAATATGATTGACTGTCAACACACTGACGTAATAACGGTCTTCAACACAGTATACCGGCTTAGCGTGGTAGCCATCTTGCAGTGCAGTTTTTCTTTGTTCCACAGGGAAACCTCCTTTGTGGGCATAGCTACCCTTTAAACACCAAGAATACCCCTAGTGCTCAGTGTTTCTTCGACGATTTCGACCAATGCTGTTTGGCTTGTGCTTATTTATTTATTAATTAAATGCTTGCAGTAACGACATTCCTGATCTCGTATGCATACGCAATTCCCATCGTGTTTTCATGTCTTTCCTGCAGGCTACCAAAAGGAGGTCCGTATACCCGGCTGTCACACGGCCTGGGTGAGGATGAATGCCTGCCGAGGATACTGCATGACGTACTCCTTCTTGTCAGACTCGGCTACGCTAGAGAGAAGTGGTGGCACTCAACTCTTCACATCACACGGGTCATGTTGTGTGATAACGTCAACACACGATGTGAGTGTAGAGCACGATGAAGTATAAGCCGACTTCAGAGGATGAGTGACTCAATAACGTAGATTTTGAATTACCCCGAGAGGAGGTTTCGAGTATACCAAAATCCTTCAATGCATACTCCAACTCAACCGAAACCAAAGCCCAAACACTCATCCCACGTACGTTACATACCTCGTGTGGACATTCCTTTGTATTCGTATAGTTAGGATAACTCTGTGAAAACACTCATTTTTCTTGAACTGGGAATACGATTTACCGCTAGACTTTTGTGAAATGTTTCCTTGACTTTACCTCGTCCTTTTACGACTGATGACCTTAAGCCCAAAATGCCTCTAAACTTCTTTCAGGGAAGAGGACACGTCCTGTGGACATGGGTAAGTCCACAGAACGTCTTCTCTTCTTGCATCATGTGGTCATCTTTTGTTCACAAGTCCACACTAGTTATGTAAGGTTAGCGCACCCCCACCCACACAAAGCCTCCGCCCCGATTACTACGCTGACCCTATAAACTAACTACGAGTTATGGGACTTTGTCGGTGCAAACATACTGGGAAATTTCTGAAGAAAAAAAGTTGATATTGACACCATTTTCAGGGATGACGTAGGTCATTATTAAGATCTTAAGTTGTATTATGAAGATCTTGCCTTGAAGGCTTCCGGGTTCAAAACAGAAGTTTCCGTTGTTTGTCCAACATTTATTTTAATTGCAATATCGAAATTACTTGCAACTGTTTTTATACTTCTGAAATGGTCTTAAAAAATTAATAGCATGCTTTCTATAAAAGGAATTAACTTTTGTCGTAGTAAATTGTTTATGTCACTGAGAAAGTATGTTTGGGCAGATAAAACATATTGGAAGTAGAGTTGATATACATAAAACTATCTTCCGTGGGTTAAATCATCATGTTTGGTTAAGATGTAATTTGCCTCTGGAATTCTTCATTTTCAAAGGAACAGTCTCTCTGTAATATAATAAACCAGTCTTGCCCAAACTTACACCTTGCTTCGTGCAAATAAATTTGGAACGTTTGGACTAGGTTTAATATTGGTACAGTGGACCACGGGGGACCGTATCTCGAAACAGATAGAATGATGCGATAGAGACAATCCACAGTTTCAACCCCCCCCCCACGTGCGATGAAGTGATCCATGGCACCCCACCAAACTTTGGAGAAAGGGAATTTTCAAAACCCAAAGGAACTTAGTTTTTGTACCTTTCATTTTCGGTGCAGGTCCACATCACGTTGCAGTGCGAAAACAACCAAGTTTACAAAGACACGTTCAAGTCGGCCAGGACCTGCAATTGCGCCCTCTGTGCAATCCCGTAGCCGATGATCTATGCTCTTGAGGGAGACAGCGGCATTTTTGATGGGGGGCAAGTGGTATAACAATTAATTATAAGTGGTTTTGACAGTGGATGTAATTTTGACTTGAGTTTGTTTCACCTGTTTTACGGGACAAAAGTCTGACAGCGCAGAATTTTGAAATATATTAAAAATTGCTTGCATGGGATTTGATATTCGGCTGTTACCTTGATCAACACAAACTGGACGAGTAACTCAAGTGCCAATTAAGTGTACATGATAAACATCTATGTAACTGTACATTCAACACAGGATAATGAGTGTATAAAGATCCGCAAAATCAATGTTTCAACTAATGAATTGACAGTGGAGATCAAAATGAAAGGAATATGACAGTTTCACGTTGCAGCTCTTTCTCAACGACGTCGTGGATTTGTTTTGAAGTAATTGTATTAACAGTAAGGACCGTTTCCACTCTCCAATCATAAAGCATAGATTATGATGTCATGAGGAGTACATGTATAATCATAAGCCGACGATTTACTACTGTAGATCTTTTCTTTTGATGCCAACTAACAAATAGGCCTTCTAACAATTTAGTTGCTAGGGTGAATTGGTAATAACTTACTGAACCTCATCGCTGCATCAGCTGACTTAGAGGAATTTGGAGGAGAATTTAGAGGAACGAAGCTGACTTATAGGAATTTGGTGTATAAAAACCTGAGACGCCTAGGTTAATAAACAGCGAGATGATAATTGTTTGAAATAAAAAAAAGCGGGACTTACCAGATACGAAGCTTGTCTGGTGTGACACCTTAAAATACCTTCCAACATTTCGTAACACCCCTCATTCCCGAGAGAGAGTAGCTTTTTCAAGTCATGGAGGTAAAAACAGCCGCGTGCAATGTAGAGGAACGTAATTTTGCAGGCCCCCTATATTTCCCCATATTTATTTTGTGTTCTCATATGTAGTGACTACCGGACACTTCGACAATGGGTGTTTCAGATAAAGAACGCCCTCCTTTGATCAAGATAAGTCATCTTTTAGGATTACTTTAGTTTAGCTGGTGATGCTGATAGCGCCCATCTCTATTTTAACTGGCCGCCGTCTTGCTTCACCCTACAAGCTACCGACCCCACGCGTAAGCGTGCATGTTCGAGGAGAAAGTTTAAGAATTTTAGTCTTGAAATCGCAAAAAGCTTCACGCATCACGTGGGCAGTACGAGGGCCTATTTCAGGGCCTTTTGGGTGCAGCTTGATTTCATGAAAAGTTGTTAGACAGTCCTGTTTCGTCGTGAAGTTTAGTCGAAAAGATAAGTAACATAATTGGCCGATTTTCGCCTTATCTGGGTTGAAGCATCCCCGCGCAAATACGTGTAGGCGTTAACCCTGTGGTGCGCGCGTGGAGAACAAAATCCTATCCAAATCAATGTCGACGTGGCACCAAGTGAAGTCGGCTGGCCGCCCGGTCTGTGGTCTCCACAATGAAACAGACCAATCAGTTGCACTGGCCTCCTGTCCCGTTAGCTTAGAGTGACTGATTGTACGCACCTCCATATTTTGAAGTCCAGGCGATGGTACATTTTTTGTTCGTCACAGAAGCAATCGATTGGAATCATCGTAATTTTTTTAAAGTTATTGGTGAACCTTTTAACGAATTAATTGCTAACCACTTTTGAAATTCTCCACGCCATTGTAGGATTTCCCGTTTTTCAGTAGCCTCTATTTGGAGACATGTCAGTAAGCTGGATGTATCGTTGTGGAGTTTTGCCGTCTTTTTTGTCTATTTTTGCTGAGGGCATTTCAGTGATCATAGGGCATAAACTTTTCCAAATTTCGCATTTATGAGCAAAGACTGACGTCACATTGGGCAACAATTTGGTGTTAATGTCAATTTCGCCGTCCTTCAACCATCAGAGTCTAAGTGAGTTCTTGACAATCTTTATTGTGACATAATGTCCCACTTATACCTACTTTTTCAGTGACGGAATGAAAGTGAGTCAAGAGTCGATCGCATGAATTGAAACAGACCACATTTACCTCTCAATGAAAAAGGAAACCCATTAATTTTTAGAAGTTCACTTATTTTTATTTCGATCAGTTGATTTTGATCAAATTGTCCTCAGACAAACTGAGAGTGCTCCAGAAACTGTCACAACGGTTTTGTAAATGGCAAACAACATTTACAAAAACAACAATGTGAGGGGACAAGTTTTGAAAAGATTAAACATCAAATGGTATTTATTACAATCATCGACGATGGCAAATCGGATTAATCTAAAATTACCCCTGCCTTTATTTTCATATTGTTATTTTTACAAAACGATTTGATCCTGCCGATCTAGCTACATAACTTACAACGACAGACAAACCACCGGACATTGAGCAGCTTAGCAATGAGAAAGCCTATTTCTACGAAACAATTCTCGAAGAAGGGGGTTGTTTGCAGCAAAATGATGAATGACACATGAATCAGTTTAATATGCAACTGTCGCGGTTGGCAATCTCACACTCTTTCTTGAGGTGATTTGTACTCATTTGTAGGACGCCGGTCAAATATTCCTCTCTCATACATGTAATTGCTTTCAGTTTTCACGGAGCTTTTTCATAGTGGCGTTCAGTATGTACTATTTCTTCGTCAGGTGAAAGTGTTGAGCCCTCAACTGTCTGTAATAGACCCTAATGCAGCGTAGATTTAGAAAACGTTACATTCAAAATTCATTTTAGATAAAGTAAAATGTCAGTGTCAAATTTGGAAACATTGAAGTTATTTGGGGAATCAGTAGATACACTTCATTGGATTATGAAAAAAATAAACTTTGAAACTTTTGTTTAGCTTGTTCAGGATCGGTATATTTATTAAGTATTCTTATAAATACTTGAATTTAGGAAGGCATAAACCTGAGGACATTAAATCTTTAAGATCAACCAACAAATACATTCTTTTTGAATTGCTGTTTCGTCTTCGGCTTTGCCTAATTTCCAACGCAACTTTGACATTTCCAGCAGTAGAAAGGGCATTGGGCTGTTTATAGACCAAAGATTTTTATTTAGGCCATCAAGTGGTTTGGCCTCGGAGACAAACCCTTTTTGACGGAGGGAAACCGAGATTCGGAAAACTGCAATATTACTAGAATATGTTGCATACATTCTTACATTTATTCCAGGAATTAGGAGCCCAAAGGTATGGCATTTTTGTGTCCCTGTTACATCTGACCTTTGTTATTTAACATGAAAATATAACCGGACTTGATTTCAAACTACTACTCTTTGTATTATACGATTTGCATTAATTCATTTTTCGTGGAAATTAGAAAATGTGTTCTGAACTTTCATAATCATACGTCAGATGTGACAGGGACACGAAATAATGGACCCTTAATTCCTGGAATTACCCACAATTACCCCCAAGGGCGGATTATGAGGAGGGCAATGAGGGCCATACCCCCTCCTCCCAATAAAAAGGGAGATCCAATTTTTCTTTTGTTTAATAATGAGAGAAAAGCGATTTCTTTGGTCAATTTCATTTCCTTCATCTCCAAAAGCGTATAAAACACCCTAAAATGTAGCCTCATCCTCAAAAAGGCCACAAAGGCTACACAAAAACATTCCAAATGTTTGCCCCAAAACACTAAGCATAGATAACAACGCCCCCTTTAAGTGACGAATCGTGCGTTCAACTCAATTGTGGTGTTTGCGTTGCGTTTTGGGTGTTGTTGAAAGACAATGAGGGCTACAACGAGGACTGCAACAAGGCCGGCTGCAACAGGGCCGGCTGCAACAGGGCCGGCTGCAACAGGGCCGGCTGCAACAGGGCCGGCTGCAACAGGGCCGGCTGCAACAGGGCCGGCTGCAACAAGGCCGGCTGCAACAAGACTGGCTTCAACAAGACTGGGTAGGGACAAAGTACAGCGGAAGGAGACCCTGTACCCTTGGTACTTACAGTAGGAAGGAAATCAGACAGGGAAATGCTCACATGTTTTTAACTTTTTTAACTGAACGAAGGTGCGTATACAATTTTTCTGCGTTGAAAAACGACACCCTTAATACCACATTATGGTGACCTACACGCCCCCACCAAACGTGTGTGAATACCCCATGTGTGTCAAATTGCTAGCGCTTTGGATTGTCCCTGAACAAACAAAAAAAAGAAAAGACAGCTGTATAACAGACGAATCCCTGGATGTTCTCTAGAGGTCTCCAAGGCATACTACGATTGATCTATGGAGCACAGTGCGCAGGTACAAGACGCAGCTGATCTGTAGGTCACTTGCCTTATTTCGTTGTTTTGACATTGGAGGTTCACTATCACCTGGACATACGAAATTCAAAAAAGCAAACAGTAAATTTAATCAACTTATGGCATATATCAATCCATACACAAGTATGCACCCTAAAATATAATACTGACGAGGTATTGTTTTGGCGATATTTACGCCATCAAAATACACATGTACCACACCGTTTTTTTTTCTCGTACCATTCCCGATTACCGGAGCTTTAAATTTTCCCCAAAGAAACGCCATAATTTGTGGGCTTCCAGCAAAAGTTCGTTCAAAGCTTTAAGCTAATGCTTGCCATCAGGCAGTAGCTAGGATTTTACAAGTGTGGGGCCCAAACGGGGTACCAGCATCTCATGGGAGCACCAGCTTTCAGTGGTGCGGTTTTTGGGGGCAAGATTTTGTTAGCCTTGTTCAATACCCGTTTTTTAGTGGGGGGCACCTAGGGGGCACTGGGAATTTGTGAGGGGCACGCCCCTCCCCCCCGTGGCTACGCCACTGTCATCAGGAGAATAGAAACAGCTTTGGGAGCAATATCTTGTTCAATGGCAGAGCACTGTTGTGAACTCAGAAAGGGCTTGGTCAGACACAATAGAAGCTACGGTGAAACAGACTCAAGCGTTTAAGATTAAATTTTTCAACTTCCTTATCTTTCAACAACATAATGTCAATCCGTCATTCTTGAAGAAATGTCCAAATGAATACAGTACGGAAGACGGAACTTCATAATGTTGAGGAAGGTTTAAGTTTAGGAAATTCACGAGGCAAGTTTGACCACCACGACAACGTAAAAGTGAAGCTTATAGACCATCCATTTCACACCTTCCAAAGGCGTGTATACCCGTGAACTCCCTCCCCTAGTTTCAATAATGATGGTAACTAAGATAAAAGATACGTTTTCCTCTATGGTATAGTGGTTATTCCACGAAGGCACAGACTATTCGGTGTCGCAAGCATGACGTCTTAACGCAAGCCATCGTTATTTCTCCAATAATCTAGTTTGGTGTATGGTTACGCTGTTAGGGACAAACTATCGCGCGCATGCCGCTGTTCCCAACTAGCCTTAAACGCGTTTCAGTTTGGGCATGCACCATTGGGTACCAAACTGGCTCATTTTAATATTATTTTGCATTCATCTCAGGGTTGGATGAACTTGCACGTACGCTTTTTGCTTATAAGTAGTATGCCCGTCTTGTAACTCGTGCTAACTCGTTACATGGTGTGTGCCCCTGAAGACACGCACTGACTAGTCCTTGACACAGCTTCGTATAAAAAGTTTATGTGCATAGACCTGACGTAGGCCTACGGCTGCGCAATATTCTTAACTTCGTTAAAATTTGGTTTAATGCGTGCTTACGCATGCATCACAGCACTCCAGCGTTGATGTGGTGGCATATGAAGCTGCCGGCAATGCAAATTGCATGAGAACAGGCACGCATTGCGTTACATAATACAGTGGGCGCGATGTTGCGTGGACCACATCTTCGATTTGCAAAGTAGTAAAAAGGAAAATGCCTACTTTGTGCCTGTGACCAGTTATTGCCATGCAAAACTTCCGGCCCAGGAGCTCCAAGTTATCATGTGCCCGTAGTTGGTGTCTACAACTAGTTTTACTACACCGACCTAAAATCATACGTACATCGTGAGTGTCTTGAATTGAGCAACAGTTGCCAACTGATTTGAAGATTCGACTGCCGGACATTAAGCTGTAGGGTGCCAGAATGGAGTAGGACAAGCAGTACCCTCGACAAGCATTCATATGAAACCTGACCGTGTGGCAGCCGGGGATTGTTGCAACCTTGACAAAACCTGTTTGATATAAGAGAAAGTGACAGAAATGACGACATGACAAGCGATTGGGATCATCAATGACTGGGCTTGACGGGGCTTTGTTGAGACGATTGTTGATCTTGTGGTAGCAGATTTTCTCTGCTTCTTCTCGCTTTGAAATACACAGAACGCACCAGCCTATCTGTTTAGTAAATCGGTTACGTTATCAGGGCATCTTGGAGGGAAGGGTGGCTATCATACACGGACAAATTTCCTACCGGCGCTCTGTAAAATATTATCTGTAAAAAATTGTCTGGTATCGCAGTGCCATGAACATACCGGGTGAAATTGGGTAGATTATTTAAGAGCACAGTTTGGAATCTTCATTCCATTTTTTGTTTACCTTGCAGTTGTGCTTAACCGTCTTTTGTCATTTACTACATTAAAAAATAGCAACAGTAATAAAAGTACAATTGTGGAATAAAACAAAAAAGAAAACAGAAAGGGCAGAGTTTCCTTACTGCCTTAGTGACTGCCTTACCGAACCTTATAGAGTTCCGAAGTGTGACATCACTGTGAACCAGAAAATGCAGTGCAAACGAATGGAGTACGCGCGCGTGTTGGTTCACGCGCTGGTTCTCGCGCTAATGCCTTTGACACACGAACTGTGCGCGTGACGTATTCACTTCGGTACTCTTTACGTTGTGTGCCTCCTGCGGACAAGCTGTGCGCGTATTGCACAGAATACGCTCGACTGATCCCAGTTAGTTTTTGTTCGTAAGAAGGACGTCGTCATCCTCGACTCCAGGGGCAGCGTGGGCGTTCCTGCACTAGCCTCTGGTCGTGTTGAATACGAAAATGACGCTGACTGGCTATTCAGGATGACCCCATAAACGCAAACTCAATCGCACAGGTATTTTCAAAGCTGCACGCTGAAGTCCACGTATTTTCCTGCAAGCCACGCACGCGTTAGTCTGCGTCACGTGTAAACACCGACTAAATTCCTAATTTAAATATCTCAGATAGGATATGTTCCATTAGCTTACACGTGTAAGTCAAACTTACACAAGAGCGTTCGTTTAGCCATCAGGTGATCTTCTTGCCTGCCCTGGTGTCAGCCACCACTACCCCAGCTGGCGAGCGGGTCTCTGGAGGCTTTCCCGAGTGTAATGACGTCACGGATGGACTGTTCGAGCGCTAGCATAGACATGATGGAACGTGGTGGGGACTTGACCTTTTTCCCAGAATGCCTTGGCAAATACACTGCAGCGTTCGATTAGCCTCATTTCGAGGCTTCGCTTGCGTGTAGCACTGGTGTATTTAGAGAAGCTAATCGAACGCACCCATAGTAGGATATTTTAATTATTTGTCGTTTTCCTATACTCAATTTCGTCTATGTCTTGTGGCTTCGTCCCCGAGACCAATCCCCCATTGTGGGCCTGAAGCGTTTAAATTAAATTGTAATTACTGGAATTTGTGGTTCCTTTGCAGCTTATTTGATGTTTTGTGGCACTATTAGACTAATTATTGCGCTTACAGCTTCAAGGTCAGGTCGTAAAAAAAAAACCAGTTGAAGCCTGAGACGGAGCCGAAGTTGAGTATTGGAAAACAGCCATACAATACCAGGGGTTAGATTGTGCAAGGTAAGGTGGGAACCAACATGAAATACACCATGCTGTATATGGTTTACGACACCTCATAAACATTTAACTGGTAAGATGATGGAAATCTAGTAACGTTCCTCGTAACGCCATTGTTGTGTCTGAGCTGCAGAGTTCTGTGTGTCATGTGGCAACGGAGTTGAAATAGTCTGGTGCCAACACTCTTGTTACAAGCACTACAACATTCCGCCTCGAGCAGAAGCACCCCTTTATCGGTTGAAAAAGTCATATTGGTCGGAAGTGTTTATTTTGTTGGTAGTGATGCAACTGGAGCGCGTGCATTTCATACCTTAGTGAACCAGTGCAGTTCAGTTCCGACCAAAGGAGCCTCCGTTGCTCAGATAATTGCGCCCTTTCTTGGTCCAGCTCGAGGCTAATAGACTGGTCCCGTAAAGATTGCATGCCACCATTGTCTACGGGGCGGGTTTGGGGGGGATTTTTGGATTCTCTACTAAAAATACCTACCGCATGGCAGCAAGCTGGATGCTCACCAAGATGACGCAACGTGGGTGCGTATCATTTCTACTTCCAGGACGTGCATGCGGAACTGAACACTGATGTGCCACAATTTTTCACGAATATTTATGAGGAGTAAGTAAAGACTAATCTGAGAAGAAGTGAGTGTGGAGCTTGGTGCCACACTCACGCGAACGTTCTAGAACTTGATCACTATCGCAACCCTATTGGTTGAAGATATATTCCACTTGCGGGTATCACGTGTGCAAGAGCGCATATCCATCGTAGTAATTGGCTAATTCAGCTTACTCGATTAGTCTATCTATCATTGGACAACGGATATGGTCAATCAAGTTTGAACCCAGAGGTAAACAACATGGTCTGCTGTCTTCCATCTAAAACACCGGACATTTTATGCGATTGGAGCCGCCCCGGTGGTCGGAGGTACTTGTTAGCTCTGTTTTTCATACGGTCCGTTGGCTGACAAAGGCCAGCATTTTGTTGACTCAAACTTTATGGTAATTAATGCACTTGACGGAAGTGGGACTTTCAGGCACGTACGCACGCACGTAACTCCATCAATTTGGGTCTTTTACTCAGTGCAGATTTCTTGGATATCAAGCTGTGTTTTACCGCAAAAAAGAAACGAACAAGAAAAGAAACAGAAGTACTCTATGGGATTCTTGATTGATATGTCTGGATATTAACGTTTCTCTGTAATGTTCTGTCACAGAATCGGCAACGCAACCCCCCATCGATCATGTTCCCGAGCTGGGCACAAGTGACTCTTGCATGTCACGTGCTTTGCAATCCCAGGATCAGTGGATTCGCCAAGGAGACGGGCGACCGCATAATATACAGGACAGACCGAGTGGACTTACAGGCAAAGCAGTCGGATTTGAGTGATGGGAATTTGGGATTATTAACCAACAGCAGGAAAGCAGGGTATGAAATGTCAACTCGAGAAAAGGTCATCTATGGAAATATATTGAGCAGCTGCCAAAAAAGGCTATCTGGCGGAGAGTGACAGCGTTCTTTTCTTTCCCTATAGTGGCCCACCACTTACAGTTATTTGAAAACAGATTGATCAAAAGATTTTTCCTTGATTTAAAAAAAATGGCTGGAGGTGTCTGGGTTAGGATCTATTATCCACAGCTAACCTACCAAAATAACCACAGTGTGTCATAAAACAAACGTGGTTTACAATTGCGTTTTGGAATTTCTCTGTGAATGGGATAGCTCAACACAGCTCAGCATCGACATAACATGCGCGGCTCAAGGCCGTGCCTTGAGCCTGTAGGAATACATTATCCTGGCCTGGTCTGGATGGCCCCGTGTGGGCTACTCTCACGACAGTGTGCATTCTACACATTTGCGCTCTCCGAAAATGAATAAAAGGTACAGAGCGGTGTCCGAAATAAAGCCTTTTGTTCTCTCTGTGGATTGATAAATATTGCATTTTTATGCCAGCATAGGATTTCAAACTAATAATCCTCGCTTACAGATCTACTAGGCTGAAATAAGTTTGAATTTGTACAAGTTTTAAAAGACTTTTATGTTTGATTTTGGAACAACGAACAAGCGGAATGCAAACACTCCTGCCGATTGAACAAAATTGATTTTGACAGAACAACTCTAATTGTTTCACAGGCATTCAGCCATGATAGAACATCCACAGCTAAGGCAGACTTCGACATTATGCTTATTGGTAGTATCATAGTACGATTTCCATCAATTAAACTACTATTTGTATTATAAAGAGCACGTGCCGTTGGAAACTAAATCGTATATCCAGCATCTGCATCTTTTTTTCTGGAAAGACCTCATTGTTGAGAGAGTTTTGTAATGTCCTGTGTGACAACTGATAAATATGAATGATTCATGCTTTAAACGAGTAAATAATGCATAGAGAGTACTGGATGAAAGAACAAGGGGGATACATATAGCCTATCAGGGGAAAATGAAATAAAATGCATTGGTGGCCTTGTCGGGGGTTTTAGGCCACACTTGTTTTCAGTCAGTTACACTCAGTCATTCTATCTAAATGCAAAACTAGGTAATCGTCGCTGTTTAGACTAAAAGGTGAGCTTACAGCTAACACGCTCTTGCTAGAATTCGAACGATGCATGTTTCTCTTTCATAAAAACAGAGCAAATAAACCAATTTGTTTGTTAAATTAATATAATTTCCTTTATTCAGTTTCTAGTACCAACATTTCCTTCGAGTACGGTCGAACCTCTTCAATGAGAGGTCCTTTAGAATTTGCAGATTCGCTGTGTTATTACAGGAACCGTGCATTAGGAACAGAAAAAATGAAGAACAAATGATTGGAACTTCCTTATTGTGCTTTAGCAATGAAACCAACTTTGATCTGTTACAAATTCTTTGTTGTCTTTCATTCATTCCTAATAATTATTACACAACCTGTCACTAAAATATCGAGTCTTTCCACATGTAGGCTTGTAAATACCAAGACATCCTTATTCAAAGGTGCAAGCCTAACGTAATGTACTAATGATCATTTTTTGACTAAGGATTACGAGCAAATCAGACAATTTTGAATAGAGCAGTGTGCAACTCAGTTCATCGACCTGACCTGCATGGGCCTTGGCATCATTGTCGTGATAGGGTGAGTTCAGTGGAAAGAATATCAAGCTACGTTCAAAAACGAAATAACCCACCCACAAGATGGCACCCGGGGCTCTCCCAGTACTCGAGGTGATCAGCGGTCGGGAGAGAGCACAAGTAGACAGACAGCAAGACCAGTGTCACCACAACCTTACACCACAGCATGGCGACTTTGACGACTTCGAAGTAGGGCCTCTGCAAGACAGGAGAGTCAGGAAGATAAATAAAATGCTGCCGTCGGCTTGCTGCGACCAGAGCTCGAAGAGATAGATCACTAATTTATCCTAAAAGGATGTCAACAGATTAAAGATGAATGGTCGCGGCGCGAGAAGCGGAGGTGGGTGTTTGAGTTTATGAAGGGCGGACACAGGGCATGACTGTGATTATATTTAATTATTACACAAAAAAGTACAAGGAGGTTCCCTTGATGCTTCAGCCAGGTGACTTGAACGTGGGCCAGTGAGCCGTATCCCGGAAGTTTTGACGCGGGAAGACGATCTGTTGACATGGTTGGCGTGAAGGTGGCGTCATCCACCCCCGTCAAATAACCCAGTGCCGCACGTAAGCGTCGTGGATATTGGAGTGTCTATCAGCGGTACATGTAGTTACTGATTATGCTAGCTTATCTGACATACCACCCAGCCCTTGTAATTAAACGTCTTTGTCACCTGGAGGCCAGTTGGCCCAAGTTTTGTTTTGTTTTTAGAGGGGGGGTAGAGCAATTCAACACCGTGGCTGGACGACGCAACAAAACTGAGATTTGCAGTCACGACTATGGACCTGTATAAGGGGAACAGGCAACCTGTCATAAGTAAACTAATTTGTCGTTTAGATAATTGTCTTTTACTCCCCCCCTTTCCATTTAAGTGTCCACCCATCGTAAGGGAAACCTCACTGTAATGAACAGCCCGGGCGACGACCTATAGTTTTCCGGTGATCATTGTTTGTTCACAGTAAGTGCAGCCTATGTCATCGAGCTTGCCACTTGCTCAAAATTATTGGCTAGTGTCATTAATCTTACTGCTGATGGCAAAGTTACGAGAAGATCCAACGAGTGAACATTATGGACTTTCAACCTTTCAGTACGATAGCGAGCTACGCACCCCTCGTGAGATAAACCGGGGAAGGAAATTCTCGAGTCACAAAGACTTGGCATGGAAAATGAAGAATTTTGAAACACGACGAATACGTCCACATGTACACAAGGCATGTTGGGGGGGGCATGCATCGCAAATTTGCTGTGTTTTCATAAAAGCAATGCACATTAGACTCAGTGACGTATCCAGCTGTTGGCAAAATGTTTACTAACACTTATTAATCAAATATTAGCCCCAAAACCCTAAGAAAACAACCACGAAATAAAAGCAAGGATGTTTGGACTGAGAGAGTGCGGCTTTTCTCTCCCCGTACATCATGCCGAATAAGCCTGAATTAAGCCGCATTCGCTTTTGAATTCCAGCCGCCCCCCGGCACCAAACGCTGGATACGCCGCTGATTGAACTGCTTGGGAAACGTTAAAGGAGCAAACACACTTTTGAAGGTATCTCCATACTGAAATGACCCTAGTTTTAAACAAACAATAAATTAAATCTATCCCATAAGATTCCGTTCAAGTGGCCAAAGACCAGCATGTTCTCATTTCTTATACAGTGGCCTGATAACAGCTTATTCAGTGTGTATATTTATATAAATAAAACGACCTGTTTTGGAAACCGCGAAAGATGGCTGTCCTACTACAAAAGGGCAAAGAAACAAAATCGACGAAAGAACTGAAATGTAAAGGCTGAATCCGGTGAAATTAGATAGTATGGGAGTTAATAAGTATAATTAATACATTCGAGACAGGTGACAGGTGCGCAGAAGCTCTGTGTTTGAGCAAGAAAACTTAAAGACGAGACCGTCCATCTAGTTCCCGTTCATTATACAAACTATTTTTGAAGACAGCATACCCAAAAGGAGTATTTCTTGGAGTTTTTCATTTCTTATTTGATCAAGAACTTCGCGTCAGAATTTATCAAAATTTTCCTTTTACGTTATTTCCTGCCCAATGATGACAGTCTAATAACGCAATGGTCTAGTAGAGAGCAACTCAAGAGCATTATCACTCATGCACCTAAGTGCTGTTTACTAGATGCTCCAGGCCTCTACGTCGAGTAGGGCAACTAAACCCAGCACCGGTAATTCGAGCTGTGCTGGATAGGGTTAGCATTTCCCCCCCACCGCCTGGGCTTTTACAGCAACTCCAATTGAGCGTTTCAAAGTAAAGATTGCACGGGAAAGGGAACATTCCATTTTCATCCGTCAAAGTGCACCTATACGCGCCGAAGAGAAAACACTCCATAGCGGGACGCGGCAAACATCGACAACTCCAGGCAACTCTCTCCCTGCCAGTACAAGCTAGCCGCGCTCGTCTTGTTTGCATTGCACAAATTTGGAGGACGTTCTCCCTCCCTCTCTGTGGCCGCCGACTTTTTTTTTATACCCGTGTGTCAATATTTCCACAGCCTTGTTATACAGAGATTAGAAACGGAATTACCGCTGCTTTCCAACAGTACTTCCTTCCTATGAGGAAAAAATGAATTCGTGCGACGAATTAGCATAATATAAGACAGGAACACACTGCATCGTTGATCACTCACATCACTTCCGCTGTCGACAACGAGCTAATGAACTTTACACATCAACAAGCTGATCTTTTTTTTCAGGGATCATCACGCACTTATACGAAAAGCGAGTCAACCGTTCAACCTCTCACTGAACGCATTAGTACAGCCGTCTGTGATCGCTGGGAAAAACACAGCATTGAAAAGACGGGCAAGATAAAATTAATGCGTTTAATCGCGCCACCTCTGCAGCCAACCGAATGTGTTGGCATGGCTCCGGGAATTGATATCCTTCAGGAATAGGAATAATATGACATTGTTCTGTTACCCTTGTAACACCCTAAAAGCCTGTCATACCTACCGACATTGTGTTAAAGTTTTATTGCTTTAATCGTCTGGGGTTATGGGGTTGTCTCACTGTGCAATTGAATACAAACATAAAATAAACACATAACAATATTATTAATATTATTATACGATAATCATGATCATTCTAAACATTGTAATACTGATGCAGCCATGAAATTGGCCCGCAAAATCACATTACCAAAATTATAATCGTCTTGTTGGTCCCAAAACACCAGTCTGGGAGTTGCAACGGTGTATAATGTGTGTCATTCAAAGAGCGTTGTATTGACAACCGCCTGGCTCCTTTTATTTTCTTTTATATCAGTAAGGTATACCATGAATATAAAAATAGTTCGACCTTGCGATAACAACTGCACTTAACAGTTATGCGGTTCCCTCATAGATCATAAACTGATCTATTTCTCATCTCTGCGACTTTAACAAGCGAGTTCTGCCTCGCATCAAGTTCGCACTTTGGGTAATAGAGATACAATGCTTGTCCCATAAAATAATTACAAGGCTGAAGCTACAAACGGGGCGTTGTGGCGTTCTCGCTAATTATTGTGAAGGTTGGTAAGTCATTATGTGTGAATCTTTCCAAGCTGCAGGAGCGTGCAAGTGCTGCCTCTCTTTCAACCATAACGAGCAAAGGCCAGATGAGTGTGCGTGTACTTCAAAGTGCACCGACCAAGGGGCGCCGGAGTAATTACGACAAGGGACCGCCAGCACTGGCAGGTTAATGAATTTAAGATTTCTGAGTAGACAAGCGGCATGAATCATCACCAGCCATCAAGCTGAGTGGATGAGTCCTCTTATTCAACAAGCTTGCAGGGATGTAGTTGAACAAAGAAACACATGAAGTTCCAACTCTGTCACGGGGTAATGCTTAAAAAAGGGAACGTTATGTTCCTTTTTCCAATTGGAAATTCTACACTTCTCAAAATACATCTCAGAAGCAAAAAAAAATCAACTTTGAACCATGTCATATCAATGCCAATAACCCTAACTGTTCAACTTGACTGCAAAGTCCTCTTTAAAGTTTGAATGACAACGTGATAACATCTGAACAAAGCGTCAATGTTTATCAAACAACTGGCCCACGCTGCCTGCTCCATTCTGATGATAAGTGCTATTTTTCTCAGAAGCCAGTCACCGTAACCTTTTCGATACCAAATGAGCGCCCTCCCGTAGTCTAAACACCTGTAAAGCACCGGCCACCAAGTCAGCCCACTCATGCCCCCGCGCGTGCGGTTTCAACATAACGATAAACTTTGTATAGATGTGGTACAATACAACCCCTCCTTATTTTGGATGTACGGCAGCGAGAACGGAGGTAACATCGCCGGGTATCAAAGGCGTGCGCTTCCTAGAATTGTTGGCCGGGTTTTTTCATTGATTGAGTCAACGGTCACAACGAAAGCAATACATTGCAAGTTGCACCTTTCAAAGTTCACATTCTTCCAAAGGGATGGAGTACCACCAGAGCGTTTTGGACATGATCAATACGGCAAAGGAGACAGCGTGGGATGGGAATGGAGTTAACCGAACTCACCGACAAGTTGTCATCTTTAAGTTGAGAGTGCTTTTTGATACCAACAAAATTGAAAAAAAAAAAACCCAAGAAAACAAAGCACATGTCGGCCAATATAACTTGAACCAAACTACAGCCACACTATCGAAAAACAATTCATACAAAGCAATCGGGCATAAAGTCTGTATACATTCTCTGAAGTAGATAGTTGATTTTGGGAACCCCCAAACGTACATTTAATTTAGACGTCTAAATTGGTATACCCGGCCTAGACTTTTAGAGAACGTACGTTGTTAGGATTGAAAGCTATGTCTAAAGAAGAACATAGACGAGGGGCGGATCTAGGATTTTCCAAGGAGTGGGGGCGTAAACCAGGGTTTTTCCAAAGGGAGGGGAGCGTGAACTAAAAGTAGCAATGGTATAATGCTTGTAAACGCGTAACTAACATGAAGCCCCAACGGCGCGGGGTCGGGGCCCGTTCAAGGAATTCTAGGATTGCATTGGGTTTCTAGGAGCTCTGTGCTGCAATTTCAGGCACCAGGGCCTCTCTATTTTCTTCTCCCCCTTTTTTCTTCTTGATGTTTCTTAATGTATTTATTTATTTTTGTTGGTGAGAAAAGGGGGTGTGCGCCCCCCTACGCCCCCTGGATCCGCCCCTGCAGAAGAAATTTATACATAAATAGTACGTTTTTACCAGGATTCTCTGTTATAGTCGTCGTTATGTATCGTTGATAATCATCAAATGAACAGAGCTAAACCAAGTTCACTTTGACTAAATGTTTATCTCAGCATAAAACCTACCCCTTGTGACAGTGACATTTATACAAACAGGTCCATCTTGGTTTATGGCTGATTCCCTAGATGCCGTTTTATTCCGTCCTTTTGTTTTGTTTTCCTGACAAGATTGTTTTGATATTGTGTGACATTTTAATTTACAGTCGGCTTAAGACATCTAATACGGTACAGGCAATGGCTGCAGGATGTTATATTTGCTGGAGAAAAAAAAACCTTTGAACGCAACTTGTCCAAATCCTTACAGTGACAGACATGCACGGAATTTGTCCATGGGCTTTGGCTGTCACAAAAACCTTGACGAATCCCCCTGCGCCTTAGGCTTCTAATACTTTAAGTCTTAGCCGAAGGCAACCAAAACCCCAGGAAATGCAACAGGCCAACAAGGAACTCAACTCAATGGTGTTTTTTTTTTCGCGTAAAGCAACATTTTCTCTCTGCTCAGGTTGTGAGGCGCGCTATTGCCGGATGTTCGGGAGGGTAAGAGAGCAGTGAGCCGTGAACTGCTCGAGATCTTGTCCATTTCGACGGGAATTGTTGAACCAAATAGTCGGTGTTTGTAACACTTCAGTCGTAAGTTTGCAAAGCTGTTGGTGGGATCCTGACCTTGTTCAGACGGTAAGAGGTTAGCATTTCGTTTATCAAATTTTTCGTCTTTTAAAATGCTTAAAAATGAAATGTTGGACGACAAAAGTTGTCAAGATTGTTAACAACTGTTAAAACATTACTTAACACTGATTGATTTCTTTCAATGAGTATTCAAGTGTTTAAGATTGCAAAGAATGTGCAAAATGCACAGTGTGTCATCTAGTGGTCGCCGTTTGGCATCGCCTACGAAGAACAGTGAGACTAAAATCAAAGTAAACTTCAACTTTCTGTCAAAACAATTTCTTTTTCCTTTGCTGCCGTCTTATTATGCTAGTTCAGGGAGAATTTCGCTGGCAGTGACATTATCGGGTACCACTGCACAATAGCCTAGTTCCCACGGGGATTGAGCCATTTTTTGTAATTTCTACAACCTGATTTGTTTCCACCCCTGTGCAGTCCTTCGTAAGAGTGAAAGAAATGAGTCCCAGTCCACATCCTTAGCATCTAAATTTAGCGCAATCACTTTCTTTATAAAGTCGTGCGGTGCCCAATCGCAGACCGCTTTGGAAGACTGAATCGCTCTATTTTAGGAATTTTTTATCCTCTGAATTAAAGGTTGCTCTTAAAAATAAGCATAGCTGGAATTCAGCAAATATGAGGTGAACTCTTCCAACATTTCTATAATCGGCAAGTTTCTTGGGGCATAAAAAGAAAGCACTTGATTAGCCATTGAAAAGATACAAGAATTATTTGTGAACTGTAACTTTTGCGATGTAAAACGTACGCTCCTGTCATTATTCAAACTGTTTTTATTGGGTGGGGAAGTAGCACAATTTGAAGGTGCTAGACCATTTTGTTAGTAAAAGCAACATCCATGATGTCTAGAATTTTTTAAAGCGAAGCAGTGCATGTGACAATGTATACGACTGACGGATGTAGCCTTTAATATTTGCCCCTATTTTCAAATCAATGACGGCCAACGCAGCAGACTAAATAAGGAGACAAAATGTAGTACACACAACACAGCCAGAAGGATTTTATTCATCGTAATGTGTCGGATATAGAAATCTGGGCAGCCAACCCATCCTGCATGCGACAAATATCCACAGTTTGAGCACCCACAAAGGCCCAGAAACATCGCTCCAAGCACCATTTGTCTCGGAGCGTCCATTCTATGTGAATTCTTGGAGCACCCGCAAAGGCTCAAAGTGCCCATAGTTTCAAGCACCATTTGACCTGGAATGCCATGTTCATCATTATTCATTGTTTGGGCTTCCACTAAGGCCAAAGAGCACTAACAGTTCCCCAGCACAATTTGACTTGGAGCACCACGGCTCAATGACAATGACCTTATGATAGGCCTAAGTGGCAATTCGTTAGGACAGTGCCAGAACACTTCAAAACTTCAAAAGCTGTAACAATTGTTATGTATGCAAAGTTACCAAATGAGATTACAGACACCATTCTTTCTTTGTTTGCACCTACAAAAGAAAAAATGGTTTATCCTCTTCTGTTGTGCTTACTTAAGGGAAGACATGGTTACAGCAACCATTAGACACTTTCTACTCCATCGAGTTAATAGGGGCAATTCACAGTAGTGCGCCTCCAAGAGTTTGCAACGCGTTGACCAATTACAACGTGCGAAATGTGTCCACCCAATGCGCGTTTGCAAAGGGTTGACAGATTTGCGCATTGTTATTAGTCAACAAGTTGCAAACTCTTGGAGGCGCACTATTGTGATACGTCCGTGTTACATAATGCATCACAATGAACTTTATCTCATCTACGTATTATTTAAAATTTCTAACAAATCTTTCCCAAAAGTATGGGGTGTTTTGTAAGAGGAGGAAGCGGAAGGTAGTGGGCAAAATTTGTATCGAAGAATCTAGATGTGTTTCTTTCATAGGCTGAGAAAAAAGTGACAATGCGGCAAGTTTATCTATGAGTAAGTCTCATATGGATGTCTGTTTGATCTTTTGGCAGAATAAACACTCTGTGAGCAGCAACAATGGCGTCTCGCTCCATCCACGCCTGCGTCTTGGCGGCTATATTATTGACAATTTGGGCATGCGCACTCGCCATTGACCCCAGCACGGCAACGGGCTGCTACGTGCACAACGCAATGAGCCACGTGGTTCAGAAAGACGGTTGTCGACCCTACGAGCTGATTGTTAGTGGGTGCTGGGGTCGGTGTGCCACGGTCGAGGTAAATGAATGGTAAAAGATTCCTTTTTATTGATGTGCAAATGCCCATGTATTTCTTGCCTTACGATCTTTGCGAAAAAATTTAGGAAGAGAGTGAAATGTAGGCCAACAAGACTGGTTGAAACTCAAAAATAAGCCAAAATCGTCAAGTAAAAGAGCCTATGAATTGGGGTTGTATTGGTTCTTTTCCATTTGATAATTCAATAAACTAATATAGAACGTAAGCAAAAATATGCTAATATCATAAAATAATTCCAAATACACAGAGTAGTACAAGTGTACACAAGCTATACAGCGTGGGAACAAAAAGAAATCGCACCGACATGGATAAGAATCATTTGAGCATGAGTAAATATGCAGAAAAATAAGGAAATGACTTAGACAGAGAACAAGAAAAACAAAAAAAAAGGAATAAAAAACCAGTGAGAGAAAGAGATCAGGGTGGATGAGGGTGACGAGGTACGGGGTTGGTGATGCAGTGAGGAGATGTAATGGGGAAGGACAGAGAAGCACTGACGGGGTAGGTGGTATAATGCCAAGGATAGCAAACAACATGTGCGTGTCATAGACTCTCCAGTGTTCATGTTGTTACCAATTCGGATTATCGGGATGTCCACGTCACTGGTAGCCACTTCAGAATCATGTGGAGATCAAGTTGGGTCAACTCAAAAGAACAACATATATAGCCCACTATTTCTAGCCCATATTTGCTCTGATGTGTTAAATGCGACCATTGACGTCACACATCTAGGGACGTCAGAGATCGGCCGCGTCTCTCTGGCTTCGATAGTCATGGTTGTCATGAAATACGTGCACATTGTACTTATAACAGATACGTTACTATAGGCTGCAAGGCTGAAAACGATATACATATAGAGAGAATTCGCTGGCAATAGAGATTTTGAACCATAGATGTGTCCTTGTGTCGATAAGATTGAGCCTGCTGATAGAAGCAAACTTCACCTCCAGTTAAACGGCTGAATCGCACCTTTCCAAAATATGACAAATAAGCACACAGTTGAGCATAACGCAATTGGAGTGACGCGTGCACCGTGAAACTTGAGAGTTTAGTCGGCCAAGTCGTATAGGCAAAGCCCGACTGCCTCTTTTAATTATTGTTTCGGTTTTTCATCGTATGCCAGATTTAGAATCCTCGTTTAAATATCATACTGTTTCTTCCATTCTGATCATATACTCCTTGATTCAACGCCGCTGTTTTCGCAAGAACACTTTGATCTGGCAAACAAGGAGGGGAAAAGTAGACATTTAGGACGAGGTCAGACCGACTGACACGCGTCACTTTTGTGTATACGCATAAGACGAAATTACGTCGTAATAAAGAGTGAAAGCACGACCTTTACCTCAAAATCCCAAAATACGGTGTATATTAAAGAATATGCATTGGTAATGCCTCGCTAGCTGTCAAAGTCTGTGCAGTCTTCCCGGCGAGTCTTATTATTGGATTTGGTCTTAACTTCGTCAACCAGTATTTTGCGTTGTGGTCATCTTGCTCGTGTATATAATTCTCTGGCGGGAAACATCAATGAATATAGCGCTACACAGAAGACACCAAGGTTAAAAAAGATTGTCAGTAAATTGTTTGATGTTAACTAGCATATCTTTTGCCTTCACGTGATGGCCTTGGCAAGCTTGTCGATGAATACCGTGCCATTGGTACTAGTACGAAAACATAGAATTTTGTTCTTGTGATCAAGATTGCATTGTCATGAGTACGAAAAGAATGGTACTACAAAAGTGCATCAGGTGACATCTCAAGAATACACGATCGAATACAGAGGGGATTATGATATGCTTGCATAAAGATTCAGTGATACAATTTGCATCTGGACCTACGGCTTTGACTAATAAGACGGCATCTAGCCATTACAAAGGAGACAGCAAATATCATTTGACAAAACCCACGACGTCTGCGGCGGGCTGACACGCAGAGTCCGATGTTGAAATTTGCACGCACACGGCATGTTCGTTTGAGGGTGGGCTGCGTTAAGTGACATGATGTTAAGGGGATAAATACTGTGGTTCTTGGCAGTGGAGGTGGGGGATGCGGGCGATTTTTGTTTCAGGTAGGGGGAGCTATTGTTGAAATAAAATAACAATTCCTATCCTGGGACGCTTTCTCTATTGAAGTAGTCCTGTACGTGTGTTGTTTCTGAGCTGTTGTTAACAACACCAGTTCAGGATGTCGTTGAATAGGGTTTGTCTCTGTTTTTTGAAGTAAAGACTTCGGTTAATTCCTTGGAAGGGACCTTAGTGCGTACGCACACAAGTTCATTGGGCGTAGCCTCCAAAATGTACCTAATTGCCTCCACATAATCTGAGGGGCCCCTTCGACAGATATCTCGATCCCACTGAGTAACAATTTACGAAAACCCAGAATACCATATTAAACTTCTAACCTTCAATCAGCGAAGTCGGACTTATTTTTTTATGGGGCCTATATGCATACGCATGAGTTGAAAACCTATGGGCGGGTCTCTTCTCAAATTGCTGAGAAACATGTCTCGAAATGATAAGTTGGGCTTCTTCCATTTTTTTCCCTTTCAGATGCAATCCAACGTGTGTGCATTTGTTCCAATTTGTAGCAGCTCGTTTTATCTCGCCAAACCTTTGTGGGTTTTTAATGATGTCTCGTAGCCTTTTCGACATGCACTTAAAAACAAATCAAATATAGTACCGGCATTCTCTCCATATGTCTTTGTTTCGAAGTAGTGGTTGAATATCTCTTGTTTTTTTTTTAAAGATTTGTCCCATTTTCATGATTCAAGCTTTGCCATATCTCCGTGTTGGTCTAAGATGTCAAAAATATGCAACACCTCCATGATTTTCTTTCAAATTATCATCCATATTAGAGCCGTTTCGTGGGAGAGGGATAGAATAAAACGAAATATGTTACACAATGGCGTCAGAGTTCGAAATCTGTCTGACGATTCTGTCTCGAAGTATTTCCTGTGATGTAGTCAAAATATCAATAACTGGCCTCTTTTTTCGCGTGCGCGGGAAACGAGCAACATACGCCTACTCGTTGATTATTCTCTGTATCAACTGATAAGGCAGCATTATTTTGGAGAAAGGGCAATAATAACTCCCCACATCTGTCACTTTTGTGCACGTGGAAAACAGGTATCATCATTACACGACGCGGTACACGCACATTTTGTTTACCTTTTCGATTATTTCGGCCCACTCGAAGTCCTATGATTTCACGCATTATTCGTAGTGACGATCGATTACGGCGTTCGTGGAAAGGTTTAATATTAGATCCTAAAACAAAAACTGAGCACATGTAGCGAAGCAACTTTGAAACAATGGTTTCAATTGGATGTAGTTGAACAGGCTGTAATATTGAGCTGCAGTTGTCAATAAAGGGATATCTTGAGATATGGTGGGAAAGGAGAGACATACTCGGGATCCTGTCAATTCAACGATTTATTTTGAGTTAACCTGTTTTCAAGGAGCCAAGTTTGGGATCGTGTCTATCCAGAAAACTTTTTTTATATGGTTATCTGTGCAGTCTCGATTAAGTACTTAATTTGGGTATATTAAAAAGCTTTACAGCACATTAAATTTGTTTTTCTTTGTAGTTGTGACAAAATTAAAAAAAAGGTAGACCAGGTAAAAATGTGGTGTTATTTGAATCAAAAATGATTGAAATTAAACATTTCATCTTTAAATACTGTAAATGCCAGATGTTATATTTATTGATAACATTTAAATACATTATATTTGCATATTCTTTGCTTATCTCTGTATTCTTTTCCATGGGCAGGTTCCGGCGCTAAACCCCCCATTTGTGAGCGCCTCCCATTCCGTGTGTGGCTACACTTCCTACGAGGAGAGACATGTAGAGTTACCAGACTGCGACCCCGGCGTCGACCCCGGCTACACCTACCTTCATGCCCTACGGTGTGAGTGCACCACCATAGATTCCACGAACACCAATTACAGCTACAGACCTGATTATTTCGTATCGAAAAAGTAGTAGCAAAACAAATTACCACGTTTCTGTGAAGCGTGGGGTGGGCAAAAATATTCCCTATAGCTGTTTTTCTTTCGATTCCTCCTATCCACAAAAGTACAACTAGGAAACAAATACAACAAACAAGACAATGATAATTTCAATTTAAGTGACATCCGCTCAGTATTATCTGTATATTAAACAGAAAGAACCAGGGGCCTCGAGCAAAGAGTCCAGTATGAAATACCAGAAAGATTCTGTCAATAGATTCACAGACACTTTCCATCTTGTTCCCTGAATCTATCATACTCATATGTAATCTGTGAAATGGGGTGGTGCCAGCCTATTTTAGGTTTCAAACTCACTTTCCATTTCTTCAAATCAGGCTCAAAACATTTAGTTATAATTTATCACAAATTCTAAATTATTTTAAATTTCAAACAAAAAAATGGCATTAATTTAAGGGTGTCTTTAATACAAAGAAGCAATCGTCCCAATCGTGTTGTCCCGCGAGGAACATTGGAATTATGTGAGACTTTGCACTTTTGCTGTCACAAATCTCTAGCACATGTTGATGGTTCCGTACAATCCGCTGAAAATTCCAATTTCGCTTTCGACTAAAAATTCAGTTGGAGTGGTCGTCCGAATAACCTCAAGAGGTCACGGTCATAAACGATATAGCATTTTAGCAACATCCTTACCATGTTATTATACTACGGGGAAAATTAAATCAAGGGATTCGGCTCGTGACTTTACCACTTTTTGCATTGGTTTGACTAACAGTGTCGAAAATGTTCCAGAGGGAGAAAGGACAAACTGTACTCACAAGACATTTGCCCTGTTCCTGGAGGAAATGGTTTCACACCAACTTGGCTCTCTTTTTAGAACCCTATGTTTCCAACTATTCTTATTGAAAATTTAGCAGAACGCAGACACACACGTTCCCCTATTCTTTTTATCATTTCAAAGCAAAACCCTTTGACTATTTTTATACAAGAAAATCATGTTCAAATCTTGATGTGTTCGGAGATACCTCATGATTTTTTTAGTGTAGCCCCCAGCGCATTCTGAGGGCTACATTTGGAATGTCACGTTTTGGTGCCAACGGCAGGCCAAGGTTTATTAGATTTTGAGCGTTGGTCCCTTCTCTGTGGCGCAAGTTTATATTCAAAAGGTGAATCGACACTTTCTTAGAAACGTTATGCAAATTTCACGACAAACGTCAGGTAAAACCAGCCTATAAATAGGTGAAAGTGTCCAGGCCCCTTTCTACAATCTGCAAAAAGCACAACTGAACATCCCTCAAAAGGTATGAGGAGCAAATTTTCACAAAGTAAAGCTTTCACCTGAAAAAGGTATTGGAAAGATATTAAATCATGACATATCACATTTAATTCTGTATCTCACACCTGTGTCAATATTCATAATACAATGAGTGACATTCACGGAGAGTGACAAATCCAGGGAAATTTTACTTTTACAACTTATAGAAAAAATAAAAGCTTTGCACGGGGACATATGAACGGTGGAAGAGTGGGAATGAGTATAGCATCGTCTAGGGGAAGCAAAGGCTTGTTAATTAAGCCGAGATCTGGGCCCTGGGTGTCCAGTTTTAGAGGAAAAAACAGAGTCGCAAGATCGCATCAGAAAAAAGAATGTCTGTCATTCAGCCACCATTCTGCTGTGCCAGCGCTCACTATGATTGCTACTGAGGATATGGGGGAAATGAAAATCATATACCATTGAGGACCATGCGTCCTCGGTTGGAAGCATGTCCTCAATTTAAATCGTGTAGAAATCAAAAGTCACAGTTGGCGACCCTATAGATTACCTATGTAGATTGTGTAGAAAACATCATGTAGTGCTGTAGGTAACACAAATAATGAAATTTGTGGGTGCAATTATTTAAAAGAGAACAATTTAATGAAGTGACGGACCGACTGTTCTATTCAAAGAGTTGAATGCGGGTGGAATAAAACATTGAGTTCGTCACTGAATGAATGGGTATCCTTTCTATCTCACGAATACGAAATATCCACTACTCTTGACGTATTTTACACAACCCTTGAATAATTATATCCTCTTAGTGTGAGTGTAGCCGATTTCCATTCCCATAGCTATCTCCCTTTTCCAATTCGACATGATATTGACACCAGATTTAAGCCTCTTGAATAATCCCATACTTAACAGATGTTTCTGGGTGTCTTACCAAATGCTCTTACTGTTTGACAGCATATTTGATTTGTTTTTTTATTAGAAGCTTCAGTGTCACTTACGAATTCAGGAATTTCTGCATCAAATTCAAAGAATGACCAGTGCTTCGGCTTATCCCTAGCCGTCTGCCATTTTGTGTAAAGAGCTGTAGTGGTATAGTAAGCTATCGTATGATTTATTACTTTTTCATGGCACATTACAAAATTAACAAGAATATTCGTGACAAAAAACAGAAGCAAATGAAGGATACAGGTAAAATTGTATGTTTGTACGAGGCCTGAGGCCTGGGATTACAATTTAAGTAAATAACGTAGTGCCGGTCTACAAATATACCATTTAAATTCACAAGAATTAAACAACAAATATTCATATTCCCTAGTTGTGATTAGAGTTTGGTTGTTCCCTTCATTTTTTTTGCAGGTTACACAATCTTTTTTTTTTTTTCAATTTCCAATCGGATAGTGCTCTCTTTGATTGCTTGAGGGCAAGATCGATGCCAAGGCTCCACCTTGATGGCCCATATATCAGATTCCTAGCTTTGGTATTATGACAGTAATCACGTCCATCCCTGGAGCCATACGCATTACTGGATGATCTCTTTGTATATGTAAGTGTTTCAAACATCCATATGTATCTCTATGCTGCATCAGTAGATACGCAGTACCGTATGAGTGTCCCATGTACCATTTTGGTACACGTAATGTCATGCAAGGCCGTAACTAACGCTGCAAAAGTCAGGCTGCAAATCAAGCTATAAAGAGAAGTTACATAATACCGGTTGAATTTGTTTCTTGTTCGTTGTCTTATATTCTCCCCGCCTAACTTTGCATTAATTTAAATCTTTGTATGAAATATTTGCAAATAACACCACATGCAATTATGTTGGAGAATATGTGACCAACATTTAATACAAAGAAAGGTGTTATATTTCCAACAACAGGAATACTATTTATCTTAAAAAACGACGCTCAGTTTTGGACACATCTGAAGGTATTCATCCCCTCTAACGTAAACACATTTGGGGGAAGAGGTTCCAACTGGCATTTTCTCAAGTGGTCCTCATGCTCGTAGCACCGGCATATTAATGTTCAACATCGATTCATCTATCAAGTCCTGGGGTGGGATGTACCGAGTGCCTCCGAGCGAAGATGCCAATTCTAACGTGATATCGTGATACCATAGCAGCAAGCCATCGGAGAACCTGTGTTGCCAACGGGTGTCTGTTTGCTTCGACACAAAGTTGGAAGCCCGGAATCCCAGGAGACGGACAGAGAAAGCAACATCGGTTGAGAAGAAGAACTAGAACTGTCTTCGCTTGTTAAAACCAACAAAACACATATTGATAGCTCTGGTCCGTTTTACGTGGATTCCATTTGACTGAAGAAATTACAGGCACTGGGCAGCAAAACTAGCAGCTTATAGCCAAGTAGAAAGGTTTGTTTGAATTTCCCCAAGCATGATATGCTGACACTAATATATGAATAAACAAACTTGTCACTGAGTGTAACATGGACCCCTCAACATAAATCATGGTGTAATATTCGCTGCACAACTTCGCCTCAAATAATTGCAAGAAATGCATGTGGACAAAACCCACCATTCATAAACAGGATTAAGAGAGGTTCAAGTCTTGATGATATTCTAACAAACCTGTTAATTTAATATTCAAAATTAAAAATGGTGCAACTTGGATCAAATTTGATGAAAATGGGTCCCTGGTCTATCCCCAAACTTCGCCAATTTATTTTTCTTTGAAATATTGAATCGAATGAACTTCGAAAATGTTCTGAAATATTCTAAAACAACCAGAAAAGTTACACCCAACTCATACGTAACAATTTAAAGACTCGCAGCAAAATGTCAAGAGACGTGTCCAAACTCCACGGAAACATCTTGTAGACTCCTTGCTAGACGGAGCAGACAATGCAGCAATAAAAGAGACAAAAAATCCCCCAAAACACAGAGAATCGAAAACCTCAAGAAAACAATCTATAAATTGTGTTCAACCGTGAATTCTCGCAACGGAAACGCGATTTAGACCGATTGATTGTTTTGAGGTTTTTCTCAAGATAGTCAAGTCAAGATAGCAAGTCAAGAAAGTAAAACGAGCCTTTCTTAAAAAAAGAAAAAGAACAACTGAAATGTGGTAAACTTAGTGGGATAAAAGGTCTTACTAGTAGACCCTGCAGTTGCATTTATGTTGATTCCATGTAAAAAATTGGATTGGGCAGTGGAGGAAGTTATGTCTCATGAATCCTTCTAGTGTCCACTTTCATTGTCAGAGAGTTTAATCGGATGGAAAGGAGCTGAATGAGCAAACAGAAAAAAACTGCACCAACCCTAGCAGTTCTGGGGGGAAAAAACAGCTATATTGTCGCAGTGCTTTATTTTTGGTATTGAGCCTTTTTCTTTGTGTTTTATGGTAATATTGACACCAATTTAATGGAAATTGGACACACCATTTTTATAAAGATCAATTATTTTCCAAGGCAGGTTGACCCATAAAATCCTCCCACAGTCGGGTGCTTTACTGAACACGTCGTATGCTTGAATGTCTTAACTGATATGACTATAACAACAAGGGTCTATGTTATATTGAATTGAAGCTTTTTAGTAAAGTATTTTTATGCATGGTTAAGGGCAGAATTCACCCAGATGCTAGAGTGTCCCCTCTAAAAAGGTCTGTCCAGCGCAAAAACCTGCATGCGCCTTTGAGTGTCCAATAATGAAGAGACATCCGCAGAATTTTCTTGATGCAGTACGGAAGAGCTTCGGGGAAACTGCAGAACTTGGCTTGTCATGATCAATAA